TAAGAGTTTTGAATCTTGAGAATGCCAACTTTGGTGGTGCTATTCCTTCCCATCTTGGGAACCTTACAAATCTAAGAATTCTCTTATTATCTCGTAATGGACTAAATGAAAGCATTGGTGAGCTTCTTGAGAAGTTAGCCGCAAAGGGTGCAGCTGGGAAGTCATTAGAGGTTTTGGGGTTGTCTGGAAATGAACTAACTGGCGAACTCCCTGCAAATATGAGCAATAGTTTTGAATCCTTGAGGGAATAGCATGCAAGGCAAAACCTGATAAGTGGGTATTTGCCTCCTCTATTGCCTTCAAGTCTTGAGCAATTAGATTTAGCCATTAACAATTTTGGTAGTGTGTTTCCTCAAAACTACACCACCAAAGGTTTTGGAAAAGCAAGTAATCTTATGAAACTGGATTTATCCTACAATCTGCTTACTGGACCATTCCCAGATTTATCAGATTTTTTGTCATTGAGGGTGTTAAATCTTAGTGGGAATCAGATACAAGGGGGGTTATCAGAGAGCATAGGCAAGCTATCAAAGCTTCAAGTATTTCGTGCCAAAGCCAACTCGTTGGAAGGGGTTATTAGTGAAGCCCACTTTTGGAACCTTTCCAGCATCCAAAAGATGGATTTATCCCTAAACCCAGGATTGTCATTCAACTTTAGTGATGATTGGGTTCCTCCTTTTCATACCCTAAATTCTCTAGTGTTAGCAAACTGTAAAGTTGGGCCTAAATTCCCAAAATGGCTTCAAAATCAAAGTTTGTTTTCAGAGATTGATCTCTCTTCTGCTAGTATTTCTGATACACTACCCCATTGGTTTTGGGACCTCATCTCCCCCAACCTTAGATACTTGAATTTATCTTACAACTCCATTGATGGCACATTGCCTGATTTATCCAACAAGCTTTCTCCTTTTTCAATCATAGATCTCAGCTTCAACAAGTTTTGGGGTCCCATATCCAAATTCGTTGGGGATTTTTTAATACTTAATCTCTCGAACAATAAGTTTGTTGGCTCAATTTCTTTCCTGTGCTCACTTATTAGCCAAAATACTTTATGCATTGACCTTTCATATAACCATTTCTCCGGAGAGATTCCTGATTGTTGGAATAGTAACATTTCAAATTTAGCCATTATTAATTTTGCGAATAATGGTTTCATTGGAGAAATTCCCCACTCTTTAGGCTCCCTACATCGGCTTCGATCGTTGCACTTGCGAAGCAACAACTTCAATGGGGAATTGCCTTCTTCATTCCAAAATTTCACATTCTTGAAAGTTATGGATCTTGAAGGAAATAAGTTTATTGGGACAATCCCAGCATGGATAGGGAGCTATCTAACTAATTTGACTGTACTTAGCCTACGTAATAACAACTTTAATGGAAGTATGCCTGAAAGTTTGTGTCATCTGAAGAATATTCACTTCTTAGATCTCTCTCAAAACAAGGTAACAGGGAGAATTCCACGCTGTTTTAACAATTTTACTACTCTAATTCAGAGTACTCCCTTTTCCTTTGGAAGCATTAAAATCTCTTTCTTTTCTATCACTGGAGATATTGATTATCCTGCCTTCTACATAGACGACGTTTTTGTTCAGTGGAAAAACAAGGACGCAAAGTTCATTACGCAGTTAGGATTCTTGAATTGCATTGATCTTTCAAGTAATAAATTGAGTGGAAATATCCCAGAAGAACTTTATGCTCTCAAGGAAGTAGTGTCCTTGAACTTATCAAGAAACCATTTGACTGGTAAAATCTTTCCATCAATTTCTGAAATGCAAAATTTAGAATCCCTTGATTTATCCAGAAATCAACTCTCAGGTGAAATTCCATCTAGTCTTGCTCTATTGACTTTTCTTGGAGTTCTTGACTTGTCAAACAACTTCTTGTCTGGCAAAATTCCAAAGGGCACTCAGCTACAAACTTTCGATGCTTCATCATATGCCGGAAATAGCGGCTTATGTGGGGATCCACTTCCCAAGTATCCCACAGATGTTCCTCCACATGAGAAAAACAATGATTACAAAGAAGGTGATGATAATCTTGTGGATCGAGAGTTTTACATATCCATGGTGCTTGGATTCTATATAAGTTTTTGGGGACTTGTGGTCTCGTTGGTGCTCAGTGACAAATGGAGATTAGCCTACTATGGGTTCTTCAATGATGTCAAAGATGGGTTGTACGTGAATATGAAAATTTGTTTGATGAGACTGCAGCAAAAATTTGTTGATAGATGATGATTTGATGAATCTGTGACGGTATGATTACTCTACTCGTGTATTATTTCATTTTATACGGTACTTACTAATTAATCAATTTTTTTTCCAAAAACTTTGACATACTTGACACAGCTAGATGGATCATGTGCAAATTGCAGCACAAACTTGAAGAATCTTGATGGAGTAGTTGGTTTGAAGATTTGTGTGTTTCCTTCACTTTTGTTAAATGGAGAAGTCTGTATTTATTATAAGTGATTTTTGTAGTAGTGTATGTTTATATATGATTATTGTGTGCACATTTACATTACGTACGTTTTGTAAGATCCGATGCTGCAACTTCAACATAACCAATGATAAAGTATTCTTGAACAAGAGATGCCACATATTTCTTGTATTCATCTAGTATATATACAGAGGGCGGATCCAAAAAAATTTTTGAATGAGGTAGAAGTTCAATTGAATTTAAAAATGTCTATATCAAAACTAAGGGGATGTATTCAATCATGACTTTTGTAGAGTTTTAAAGATTTTTAAAATGATAGATTTTAATAAACTTTGATTGACTTTCATAGAGTTGTTCAAAACTTTTTAACTAAAACTTTATAAGACTATCAAAGTGTATATAAAAAACATTCATAGACTTTTATCAACTTTTTATTTTAAAAAGTCTACAAAAGTCATTGAAATTCTAAATTGAATACATCAATTCAAACTTTCAATGATTTTGATTCTTATCATTTATATAATTTTCTTACAAAACATTTATAATATATCATAAAATTTTCTTATTATATAGTTCTTCACCCACATCAACATTATTATTTATCTCCATAGTATGTAGGTTGAGACTTATATGCTAATTACCTATATATATTATTAATAAACATAAAAAAAATATTTCATTAGAAATTCATAACAATATTGAATAATAAAATTTATAATAAAAGAAGTGATCAAATAAAATATTTAAAAATATAATTACAAGTTGCATAAAATAAAATTAAAAAAAAAATTAGTATTTAATATATATATATATATATATATATATATATATATATATATATATATATATATATATATATAATTATATTTGATATATTGCTAGGCATCACGCAAAGAACTATTATTTGCAATAAGAGACTCCGAACAACAAGAAGGTGCTACTGTTTGCAACCCCAAATTGTTGTTGCAAATAGTAGTTCGTTATTCGTAGTAACTTGTTAAAAATAGGAAAAATATATATTACGAATATAAACATAAAAAGAATAAAAATCAAAATATATAAGTATTTATATGAATATTATGAAACATATACTAAAATTTGATGATGAAAAATTTGTTTTGTTCATGTATTTAGGGAGAATTAGAGAAAATTAGGGATAAGAAATTAATTGAAAAAATAAAAATTTTAAAGAACTAATTAACATACATAAACATGTTTTTATATATAAGTTACTGCTATTGGGGGTGGATAGGTGCAAAGATAATTATCATGCGATTAACACAAAAAGATACACCTTAAGTGTAGAATTGACGCACCTAACCTTAAGCACTAAAATGACGCACCTTAAGTACACAAACCACGCACCTTAAGTACACAAACAAAGCACCTTAAGAACAGAAACCACACACCTAAAGTTTTAAAATGGTGCACCTTAAGTTTCAACAACTAACGCACCTAAAGCTTTAGGCCGATGCACCTTAAGTTTCAACAACTGACGCACCTTACACACAAACCACACACCTTAAGAAGAAAAACAATGTTGGAATTTTTAGCTAAAGAGTATATCCCTACGATGAAGGTGCCTGTGGTTTAATTTGGTCGAAAGACCGTGGAAATTCAAGGAGTTGAATTTCGAATTGTGACAACTTAAAATGTTGTACAAACTATTGAACTAATGATTCTCGGTATGTCATGGTTCTTGACCGAGATGGTTCCTAGTGGAAAGGAACATGAGTTTAACGCTCAAACCGTTAGCGAAGTGAGGGTTTGGAAATATTTTGTTTTACTATGCCTAAACTACGTTTAGAATGGTTTGTGTGACTCGTTGTACAGTGAATACTGTAAATTGGAAACAGCTAATGGGATGTGGGAATCTTTGGACCTAAAGTATAAAAGTGATTACGCTAAGACAAAGATATCTGTCGTGAGCCGATTCCTTGAATACAAGATGGTGATTCCAGGACCGTCCTGAGTCAAGTTGAATTGACGAAGGAATGATCGTGAGTGAATCCTTTCGAGTGGAACCTAGTATCCATTTGTTGCCTTTGGGCAAAAAGGACTTCAAGAAGCAATTCCACGGAAAATGCTTGAATGGCTTAATGGTCAAAACGGTATGTAACAAACGTGTTGCATGTTGAAATCTCGTAAAAGACTTCGGTTCTAGATTTCAAGTATAATCAATTTGTCAAAATTGGATAGTTATATAATCGTGAGCGTCAAAGCTCAAGTGTATTGAATATTTCAAATAATATTCTTAATACGATTATATAAGCTTGATTCAACTAGTTGGAAAATTTGGTTGACATAATCTTGTTAATTATGTGAAAATTAACTTGATTTGAGATTTCAAATTGTACTAGTATGAAATTAATTTGTGACAAGTGATGAATTATTTGGGACAACAAATATCTCTAAAAGAGTTAATACCTCTAATGGTCCTCCGAGTATTAGCGTTTTACCAGGTGTGGTCATCCGACTTTAAAATAACCACGAGACGTCCTTCAAGTTTAAAGAAATAACCACATATTGTCCCCGTTAAGTTTGGTGTCAAATGGACGTTAAATATGACCTACTCTGTTGCACATAGGCTTGTTTGGAGCAGCTATGGCTGTTACTTTCGCAAGAGAGACGACAATGGCAATGGCAATGGGTGTAATACCAAGACGGTTATGGTAGTTCAGGGGTTGAGTGCCGCCATGGCTGGGGGCATATCAGCATTCATTACAATGCTGGATACAATTAAGACGAGGCTGCAGTTTCTTGATCGCAACGACAATGGCGTAGGACAAACTCTAAGGAATCTAGTTAGGAAGGGTGGGTGGAGAGCTTGTTACAGAGGCTTGGGTCCAAGGTGGGCATCAATGTCCATGTCTACCACCATCATGATCACCACCTACGAATTCTTGAAAAGACTTTCCACAAAGAATCAAGACTATTGATTGTTGAACAACAACATCAATCCCCCTACCTGGTTTATGCCATGTAAATTGTTTGACCTGTTATACATAGAGATTATGTATATATTCTGCTTCATTGTCTTTTTTTTTTTTCTTTTTTTCTTTTTTTTTGAAACCTTCATTGTCTCTGTCCTATGCTCTGAAGAAATATAAGTAAACTTTCTTTCAGCTTTTGGTTTCCTTTTTTTAAAAGAAAAAGCTGACAAATTTCTCTGCATGATTAAGATAATGTTGGAATACAACACCAAAGATAATATATGATATAATTCAAAGATATGAAGAGTCGAATTCAAGAGAAATAAAATGTTGGAAGAAGAAGAAGAAAACTTTTTGGAAGTAGACCAGTACAGCAAATCAGCAATGGGTCTAATTTTGATTTGTTTTTCGGTTAATATAAGAGAAATGACATATTTGCCCTCACATTTAACGGTCATTTGACAGCAAACATAACGGGATCGGAGGACCACGGGTAGTTATTTTTTTAAACTTGGAGGACGTCTCGTGATCGTTTTAAAGTCGGATGACCACAGTACACCTGGTAAAACGCTAATACTCGGAGGTCCATGTGAGGTATTAACTCAAATCTAAAACCACTTGATTTTTTGAGTAGTGGTGTAAATGATTTATAAAGTTGTCACTACGGTTTAAGACAAGGTTTTGTCTAAATTTGAAATGAAGGCAATGATTAATTACCAATTGGGTTATAAGCTCGGTGTAATAACCATAATTAATAAAAATATTATTAATTGGCCTTGCTTGGTTGAGTCTTTGTGTTTGTGGCACGATAGAAAATGTTATGGTAATTTTTAATCTATACGTAGATTAATTGGCATGAATCATATTCCAAATTAATGAAAAACACAAATAAGAAATTTGTGATGTGGCATAATCACTGAGAAGTGAAGCGCACATCTCGGGTCTGAGAAGTGCTAGAAGCACCTCTCGGCCATGTGACCGAGAAGTAAATGTACCTTCCGGTCAGAGGCAAGATATCGAGAAGTGGAGGTACGTAACCTTCCAGGTGCCTTTTGGGTGACATCTTGGATGTACTTCTCAGAGTATCAACGATAGCACTCGATAGTGCTAAGTGAATTTGCTTAAGAGCAAAAACGATGTCATTGATAAATTTATTCTTTATAAGAATAAAGTGGAAAACCAACTTAATCGTGGAATTAAGGCGGTTAAAAGTGATCGGTGTGGTGAATATGAAACACCTACTGGTGATTTCTGCGTAAGCATTGGTACTCTACTCGAGCGTACAACACGGTATTCACCTCAATCGAACGGTGTTGCCGAACATAAATATCAAGATGTTGATAAGTTTGGGCCTACCTAAAAGTATGTGGGGTGAGGCAATCGTATTGAGAATATTATTGAAAATATTGAACACACTTGAGCTATAATGTTCACGATTATATAGCTCTTCCAATTTTAATAAGATGATTGTACGTGAAATCTCTATCGTTCAATATGAACTAGAATCGAAGTTCTTTTCCTAGATTTCAAAATGCAATACGTTTGTTACATTCCGTTTCGACGGTTAAGTCATTTTAGTATTTTTTTTTAATATAATGCTACGTATGCACAAGCATTCACATCTAATCTTTCATATATTTAAAATTATCTCACACCAATATTTTAACATATATAACAAGATTCAATCAAACACAATGAAACAATTTTATTCTTATTCAATAATATAAAAACGTATTACAGGAGTACTACAACATTTATTTAGAATAAACAAAGGAAATATATTGGAAACTAATTTTCTTATTCCTACTTGTCCCGTGTGCCTCTCAACTCGAAGGGTGGTCTCTATCCGCACATCGGGTCTACCTATTAAAGAAACCAAGTACGGACTTCACTTGTCCAATCATATATCCATGTTCTTTAACAATCGCAAAATTGTCCTCAACCTTTTTACTAGGATGACGTTTCGCTTCGTTGTGGCCGCTCACTTTCTTCTCATGATCATCTTCAAGACTAAGCTTTTGCTTGCCTTTCTCTTGATTACAGTTGAAGTAGATGTTAACGCTACAACAATCATCTGACAATGTAGTGAATGCGTTGCCACTGGATCTCTCGTGACTTTTAGGAGTTTTAGCTAATCCACTAGATATTTCAATAGTCACCAATCACTAGTCTACCAATTTTAAACCAAAGTTCACCGGAACATCAAGATGTGATTTTGAAACTTCCGTTTAAATGTTATTCCCACCGTTGCTACCATTTACCGGATTTTCGAAATGTGAAACATTATTGCCGCTCTAACCATTTGAATGTGCACCACGAGCAACATTCTCGTTTCCACCTCTCGTGGAATCCATTGACTTATTCATATATATCGATTTTAAGATTGTTGTGCAAATAAGTCGATTTTACAAAAATAATATATATATAAATCCAAGTCGTGCGATAGCCACACTTACTTTAAAACCGATTCGCTACCTCCCCGGGTGCTAAACATGGAGATTCAAACTCATGACCGTTGGTCTGGCTCTAATACCAAATTGAAGCATGTACTCCAAGCTGATAGTTAGATCGCACATTAATGATTATATGCTCAACACTAAAAATATTGTAGCGTTAGTCTTCCAAAATAAAATGAATCAACAATACTATAGTTTGAATACTCAAGCTATAGATGTCCGGGTAACTAGAACAAACAGCTTGACACACAAGCTTTTTTAAGGGTGGTGAATTTTGGGAGAGAAAGACAACAAAGGAGTAGAAATTGATTTTTAGAATCTATAAATTCTGCCCAAACAACAAGGTATATATAAGGGACATATTAAATATTAGCATTTAGTGTGACACATAAAAATTCAATTTAATAATCAAATTATAATGTTTAAAACGATTATACTTAATATTAAAAATAATATTTGTGGTTACGAAATTAAATACAGTTAATTCGTACTGGCCATTAATAACTTGTTTCAAAAACACTTGGATGACCAAGAAGGTGGTTGCACCAAGCTACTCCGTAACATTTGACTTCTCTTGTACATGTTGGAAAAAACAACTCTATTTTTTAAATCAAATGGGTTTACTTTGAAAATCAATTTTTCATTCACCCATTAACGTTTTGAGTGTACGATATGTCGATTTCTTCGTCTCATTACAAAAAATCTGAATCTACTTTAATCCGATTCAAATTAGAAGTGGACCCCACATATATTTGTACCACAAAATAGCCACTCAAAATTACTATTTTAGCTAAAATTTTTAACAAAAAATGTTGAGGTAAAGGCAATAAGCGCATTGGCAAAAAGAAAAAGAAACCGAGGCAAAGGCAAGGAACACATTGGCAAAAGAAAAACACGCCGAGACAAAGGCAACGAACGCATGTGCAAAAGAAAGGCACGCCGAGGCAACAGAGTTGCAACTATATAATAAGAATATGATACTTCAGAAATGACGAAAGAACAACTAGCAAATCACAAAATGGTTTGCAAGTATATTATCATAAAGAAGATGTTTAAAAAATAATTCAATGTAATTTTTCATTTTATTTATACTTTCAATTTTTTTATTTAATTTATGGTTTTATATGTTTTTATTTGTGTATTAAATTTGTAGTTTAATTTAAATTTTGTAGAGATATTTTTATTTAATTACGAATTTAATTGCTTGAATTAAATTAATAAATTAAATTTTATAAAATTAAAATATATTTTATTTCATAATTTATTAAATTATATTGATAATCGAAATTAGAAATTATAATAAATTGAAATTATTAATTATAGAAAATTGAAGGGAAAAGGGTCAAATAGGCCCTCGAACTTTAGCTTAAAAGTCAATTAGGTCCCTAAATTTTTTAAAGGTGCAATTACACCCATTAACAATTCATTTAAGTGCAATGAAGCCCAAAAACAAATTAATGACCTGCTATCACAGGTCATTAGGGTTCGGGCCACCTTCCGGCGAATTTTCCGGCAAAAAAAAAAAAAAAGTGACCGGCGAAATTTTCGACAAAAGATGTGACCGGGGAAATTTTCAGCAAATCTGGGTCGGTTGCTGGTCACATTTTTTTTGTCGAAAAATTCGCCGGAAGGTGGCCTGAACCCTAATGACCTGTGATCGCAGGTCATTAACTTGTTTTTAGGCTTCATTGCACCTAAATGAATTGTTGATAGGTGTAATTGCACCTTTAAAAAGTTTAGGGGCCTAATTGACTTTTAAGCTAAAGTTCAAGGGCCTATTTGACCCTTTTAAGAGTAAATTTCAATTTTGATCCACTAGCTATTGAACTTGTGTTAATTATAACAATTGACTTTCAAAAATGTTAATTTAGTACCTTGACTATGCAATTCTTATCAATTTTGATCATGCCGGCCAAATGTGACCGAAAAATCTTAAGTCAACAATTAATCTTAAATGGAAGGGGCAAAGTTGTCATTTCATGTTATGTCTGGTCACATTTTACCTTTGTTTCCTTTCTTCTCCAACGAGCTACATGTTTCCGACCAAAGAGAGGAATCCAAGCCCATATGAAATTACTCAATCGAATTGCAGTAATAAACAAGCTCAACGTGATAAAATAAAATAAAATAAAATAAATGATTAATTATTTCTCGGCTTCTGTTTAACTGATTCTCATTTCGGGTTGTGTGAATGCAGTCGCTATGCAATGCCTACGAGATTTGGAGCCGCAAAAGGAGAAGAGCGCTTCTGGGTCTCAACAAAGACGACAAGAAATCAAAGAAATCGGTCGCCGACAGCTCGATAGACAGTGGCAATAGCAGCGGCGGGGGGAGCGCCGAAATTTTGGTCAACAATCGCTTTCCCTAATAAGACTAAACACGAAAAATACAAATTTACCCCTTCCAATTCAATTCAATTGTTGACTTAAGATTTTCCGGTCACATTTGGCCGGTAATTTGACCGGCGTGACCAAAATTGATAGGAATTGCATAGTCAAGGTACTAAATTAACATTTTTGAAAGTCAAGTGTTGCAATTAATATAAGTTCA